AAAAAGAACCCTGACAGACCTCTGCATCAATGCAAACGATGTGTGAGGCAGGGATCTCTCCCGCTGAGCTAATGTGTGGGTTCTTGTGAGCTACTATGGTGTATACAAAGTGCTAATAAATATTTAAATAATTATATTATAAATAAAATTGTGGTAAAATCAATGCAATAATGAAAAATAAAAATATTCCCCCTGATGAAGCCACGTGACTCAGTGTCGTAATGCATAGGGGAGGGGTTCTGACATCACGACGTTTAAAGCAACATACAGCAAGTATTCAGCAATATTGCAAAACTGTACTGTGGATTCAAATTTCAACATTTTAACTTGTAACACACATGAGTGCACTACTTTATTTAATAAATTATGTTTTCAAGAGGATAAGGCACTATATTCTTTTATTACATTCCATGGCCATTATACTTATGGAGCAAAATCCCTAAGGAAACAAGGAGACCCCCTAGTGAGAAGAGGGATATTCTCATCCATCCATCAGGCTTCAGGAAAATCCATAAGGAAGCGAGGAGACCCCCTTTAGAAAGAGGGAACACTCCATTCATCCATCCCAGGGAAAGAGGGATATTCCCATCCATTTATCACTAAGTCCAATTAAAGGGACACAAGCCTTTTATGATCTCACTTAACGGTTTGGTCATACACTCCAGGTGAGAGCACAACGGGTGAAGGTGCACAATATATTTTTTATAATTGGTAAACTGCACGGCTATTATTTTCTATCGCAGCACTAGAAGAAGTGTCAAAGTTCACGGACTTAATAAGGACATGTTTGCAGCAGTAATATACTTGCAGTGATATTGGTATGTATTATTTCAATGCTGGACTATTATTTATTTAATACTTATTTATTCACAACATTTTGCAATTGGTAACGAAGCAGCACACTATTTCTGATTTTATTCTCCCACTGAGCTATTGTATTCTGACAGCGGGGAAATCTGACAGTCAGATCAGCTCCTGCAGCCAATGGTAGCTGATCGAATTCTGTTTTTCCAGCCTGACAGTTAGACAGAGCCGGTCATTAGACCATCTTCTTTCTAACACTCAGACTGAAAGCTAAACCATATGATTTTTAGTTTGTGTATATCCTGCTTTAGATGGCTTTCGCACAAAAATAAGTCTTGGCGTGAACAGACAGCTATATAATTATTTATTTTTTTAATTATATCTTTTATTATATTTTTCATTACAAAACTCAACAATACTGTATACCATATTCACCCAAAATTCAAGCATTTCACCTAAATTTTCCAACCCCATCTCTCTTCCTCCTCCCACCCCCCCCTCACCCAACCACCCCTCACCCAACCACCCCTCAAGCTACTCCCGTTCATATAATATTGTAAAGCGCTGAGCAAACTGTTGGTGCAATATAAATCCTGTATAACAATATAACTCTTCCTGTCTCTTTCCATCATTCCAGTCCATGTCCATATCTCTTTTCTTTTCCATTCTTTCTTTCTCTCCAACCTTTCTTTTGCCTTTTCCTATTGCTACGGCCCTCCGGATGCTCCATTCAATTTTCTTGCCTCCGACCACCTAGGACTCCCACTATTTACATATATTTTTTAGATTTCTTGAAGTCATGCCATCTACCCCATTCCTTTCTAAATTTTCCTATTTTATCTTCATCTATATGGTATAACTCCTCCACCTTTATATATTCAACCCTGTCTATCCAGTCCCTCATCGTTGGAGGCTCCTGTACCTGCCAGAATTTGGGAATACATCCCTTAGCCACACTAATTTGATGGTATAATGCACTATTTTTATACTGTTTCACTGATATATCTGACCTGTAAAATAGACCCACCCATGGATCATTCTGTATAGTGGTCCCCAATATCTCTTGTATAAATTGGATTATATCTTGCCAAAATCCTTGTATTTCTGGGCAATCCCACCATATATGTGCCATTGTTCCCTTAAATCCACATCCCCTCCAACATAATGGTGAGATTTCTACTCGTTGTCTATGTGCAACACTAGGTGTCAAATACCATCTCGTTAAACATAATTAATTTCAACTGTGTTCATATTCATCACCCCATGTGTTAAACATTTTATTTTTCTGTTGTTCACTCATTTTTGTTCCCAGATACCTTTCCCATTTCTCTAAGAACGAAAGAGGACCCGCCCCCTTCAATTCAATAAGAATTTTATATATCCTTGAAGTAACATGCTTTAGAGCTATATCACAACATATTTCTAATTACATTGTGTTCATGTTATAATTTTCTCTTCTTCTGGACAAGGAACTTTGCAAAGCAAAGGCTTTGTAATTCAAATTTTAGCAATTTTAAACACTTGCACTGTGACCTTGTTTACATTTTTCCTTTGTTCCTCAATAGACAGAATTTTTTAGCCTTATGAAAACCCCTAAATTATTGTTTATCTTTTCTTTTTTTTCCTAGGTCGTTATTCTTATGAAATTATTATAGAAAAGCAGGTATGCCAGGATAGTGGTGGTTTATTAAGAACACCTGTGCTTTATGAGAAAATAACGGCAGGCCTCTGAAGGATCCATTAGTTTTAGTGACAGTGTTATTGATTGTCTACTGCAATGTATATTTCATCAGGCCGGAAAGCCATAGCACCTTGTAATTGGTTTAGGTAAATGAGCTTCTTTTCTTGTGCGTCGGTAAGAGCTTATCTGGCTTGATATTACTATTACTGTGGCTGCTGAAGATCTATCCTCTTGGGTATGCGTCTCTGCAGTCTCATTAAGCAGCTTTGTACTAATTGTAACATTATTGTTTAAAAAAAATATTTACCTTAGATATCCAAGTTGGAATTCAAATTAAAAACTATCAGCTCCAAAAAAAGATTAAATATTTTTCATGTGAATTTATGTCAAGAGCTTGTCACGTGGTATGCTGTGCTGTTCATATTTAATTTGCTGTAAGTGCTTCTAATGAACTCCTGAACTTTACATATAGTCTGACTAAACACATCTGCGTAAAGTGGAGACTAATTACACCTGAAGATCCTGTACAGAACTTACAACATTAGAAATGATCAAAGTGGGACTTTAAAGATTAATGTAATTGGATGGGGCATAATATGCATAAAAGAGAAGATGATCCGGAAACTTCCCTCAGTCTTTTACTACACAAATATTGTTTGTTGCATAGCACATAGTAATCAAGAACCACAATACAAAAGTTATTGCTCTTATGTTAAACTTAACCCCTTAACGCTGGCACCTCTCCAGCCTTTTAAGGGGTTTCTTATGCTCTGGGATCATGTGACCGCCGTGTTTGGCTGTCGCAGCGGTCGCATGATCAGAAAGTTCCCAAGTAGCGATTGGGAGCTTTCCTTTAGGCACCAGTTTCGGGAGCAGGCAGGGTTTGTTTTCGTATTGATACACAAATATGCAGCCTCTCTGCATCAAGGCCCACCCACCGAGAGGCCGAACATTTGCATATTCTTGGAGTGAAGAGGTTAAAGTTGTATTAACTGCTTCCCGACCACCCTATAGCAGAACTACTGCTACAGGGCAGCAGGGCTGCGCAAAATCACGTATATATATATGATTTTGTATTTCCGGGTCCTGGCTGGAGATTCCCTGCCACTATAAGGCGATCTTTTTGTTTACACACCCCTGTATTAATTATCCTGATTTTTGTTTACATGCATACCTTATATTAATTGTTACCCTTACTCCATTGTGGTTTAATCTACTACATTTTTGTCATCGCAATTTTATCATGTTGGTGTATTTTTTGTTTTTATTCTTATTTTTATTGTTTGTATTACTTTTATTGTTTGATTTTATCTTTTGACTATTGGATTATATTTATATCACCGTATATGTATTATATTGTATATTACTAATTGTATCCTATCTGACCATTTACCATTCAGGTTAGTCCTTTCTCTATTGACATCCCATCTTTGATGTCCTAAAGGGTTTTTCTTTTAATTTTCTATTAATCATACTGTTTTTTACACATACTGACAGTATGTGTAATACGGTCTTTTGTAAGAGCATACATTGTCATTAGAATGCTCTTTATATTAACTTTTATTGCCCCATCAGCTTGGGAGATTAGGATCCTCTGCCTTTGACAACCCTCATTGCTTTCCCTTGAACTGCAGAGTAATACACTTATCAACAGTATATGTTGGCGCCTGAATACCGCCAACAAAATGGCGCCGATAGGCGCACGCACCTATATAGGACAATACAAGTTGGTCCTGGCGATCCACGACAAAATGGCACCGACACATTGCGTATGCGCCGGAAGCTGGGAAACTGGCGGCTGCGATAATCACTGGCACCATTTTCAAACATAAATAGCAGCTATTAAACGTCCCTGTCTGTAAGCCCAGCACCCTGTGATGATGTGCATCGCACGAAATGCGTCAGATGGCTACAGTTTCTGGACGTCTGACCACCGCTGGTGGCCATCCTGAATTCTACATGAGCCCCCACTTGCAGAACCTGTTTAAAGGGACCCCAGACGGTGATACGCAGTAAGGTCCTCGCAGTACCCTACTCTAGACGAGACCGGATGGTGTGTGACCCTGACCCTATCCTGGCAGCAGTTGACCACTACCTAACCTGATGAGACAGGCTAATTTCATATGCGCATTTTTGAAGCACTTCTGGTGAGTGCGCATTTCGTTTATCCTATATCCACCGTTTGGTACACTGGATTTACTCCCCATGCACTCATTAGGATCTATCGGATCCCCACGTGGGCTTTTTACCATTATTTTGGGACATTTTATTCACTTGTTTCACCGTAGGGCGATATACGACTTTGCACTTGATTCTATAGCAGTAGTTACTATATGTTCATTCAATATGCCGTTTTATTATTACTATGTTCAGTTCTTTATGTATATCTAGCGCTGCACCTTTTTGTATGTATAGTGTTTGGAAGGTTTGTTTTTGGTTGCCTTTTTTGGTGTTCCAGCAGCTATTTTTTGGAAATCATAGATAGCGCTCACTTACCATCTTTCTGCACTATACGGCGATCGCCAAGGAACACCGACAGGGGAGAGGTCTGTATGTAAACAATAAAGATCTCTCCCCTGTAAGTACCAGCACTCTGCTTTGTATTGCAGTGCATAGCAGAGCAATACAAAGCAGCATGCTTACATAATAAAGCACAAACAGACAAACTAGTAAAACAGCCCACATCCCACAGTTAACCCTATGATTGCCCCAGATGTTAATCCCTTCCTGCCCAGTGTCATTAGTACAGTGTCAGTGCTTTTTATTAGCACTGATCACTGTCAGTGGGGATGTCAGTGACAATTAGTCAGTTCCCCACAGTGTCAGAATGCCCACCGCAGTCCTCGCAGTCCTGCAGTCCTGCTTTAAATCACTGATCGCCGCCAATACTAGTAAAAAAAATTCCAGTATTTATACTGCCATTTGTAGACGCTATAACTTTCACGTAAACAAATTAATTTACATGTATTGGAATTTTTTTTAGCAAAAACATGTAGCAGAATACATTTTGGCCTAAATTTAAGATAACATTTTATTTTTTAAATTTTTTTACTGGATATGTTTTAAAAGTCATAAATACAGTTTTTTTTTTTTTTTTTCAAAATTGGACTTTTTTGGTTTATAGCGCAAAAAAAAGCAGAGGTTATCAAATACCATCGAAAGAAAGTCCTACAAACGGATGGTATATATACTGGAATTTTTATTCGTATTTTTTTTTATACTAGCAATGGCTTATAGCAGGACTGCGGTGGGCATTCTGACACTGGGTGGGAACTGACTAACTGCCACTGACATCCCCAGTGGCACTAATACGGTGATCAGTGCTAATTAAAAGCACTGACACTGTACTAATGGCACTGGGCAGGAAGGGGTTAACTTTTGGGCGATCAAAGGGTTAACTGTGTATTGTGTGCTGTTTTACTACAACGACATACTGCTTTGTATTTTTCTGTTGTGCAGAGAAATACAAAGCAGCATGTCCTTGTTGGCAGAGAGAGAGACCTGTGTTGTTTACATAAAGGTATCTCCTCTGTCAGTTTTACACGCTGATTGCCGGTTGCCAGTGGGGAATATTCGGCCGGGACCCGGTGATTGACATCCTTAGCTGCCATGAATATATATATATATATATATATATATATATATATATATATGTGATTTTGCGCAGCCCTGTAGCAGTACTTCTACTACAGGGCGGCGAGGAAGCAGTTAATACATAGTCTTTTACTGGTTACTTAGATTTACGTGTTTGAAACATCAGCCTGAAGAGAATTTATACATTATATCCTTTTTTAACAGAAAAAAAAACCTTGCATCTAAGTATAGCAAGTAATTTTATATGTACGTAGGAACAGCTATACATACTCATACTGGGGCTTCTTACACAAAATTAAATTACACTTCAGTCCAACCTCATATTTTATTAATCCAGCTCTACATTAGCATTCATTAACCTGCATTTATGTATAGGACGCTTTAGACTAAACCAGCGTTTTATGTTTTATGTAGGATTGGTCTATATGCTTGAAAAATACAATAGCTGAATCTTACCGAAATTCATGGTAACGTGTACCTAAACCCTCCTAGTTAGCTAAGCTGTTTACAGCAAATCTGTCCAAAATGTATTTAATAGCAACTCCAAGCTTTGTTCTGCCATCAGCACTGGGCGAAGCTTTGACAGAGCGATACTGGCTACAGAACAAATGCAGGATCTGCGTTAGGCTGAGCCACTATTGGGCTCCCAATGAGTTTAATTTATTGGAAAAACATCAGGGCACTTAGTAAAAGTCAGATTGCAGTTTATGTAATATGTGTCTTTCAAAAGCAGCATGTGTATCTACCAAGCAGTATGTAGTATTGCCCATCTACTTTCTTTTCAAGTAAATATTTTTTCCAGCTACCAATACTTTGTGCCTTATATTTAGTATACTCTAACTTTACATTCTTCCTCCATATTCTGTTTCAATTCCCATATTAGACAGCTCACTTTCCATTTAACTTCATCCTAATTTCATTTTCCTGCTGCTTCCTTTGATGAACAACTTATTTTTCATAGTTTCCTTTGACTTGCATTTAAACATGTGCAGAACGAAAAAATGAGTTTAATTTTGTTCCTGATCGATTCGTTAAGTTACTAATTCAGTTTCTTTGCATTTGTAACAAAATTAATTTAGTTTTGTTTCATTTATTCGTTTTCGACCGGCTTCAAATTTTTCTTAGGGATTTGAAGTATTCAGAGAATTTGAATTTAATTTGAATAGAAAATATCAAATTGATCCGAATTCATTGTGAAGAATAGTTGGTTGTATTTTATTCGAAACTTCGGAAGATGGTTATATTCTTATTATTTTATTTTATTCTATTCTACTCTATTTTTTTTTTAATTCTCTTCTATTTATTTTCTGTTATATTATTTTCTTTTTTTTTTCTCTTTTATTATTTTCTTTTTTCTATTTATATTCCTTTATTTTTTTCTATACTATGTTATTCTATTTTTTTATCTTCTTTTCTTCTTTTTATTATTTTATTTTCTATTCTATTCTTTTTTTCTGTTTTTTTTCTATTCTATTATTTTCTCTTCTATTCTATTATTTTCTATTCTATTACATTCCTTTTTTTTTTTTATTTTTTTATTATATTTTTTTCTTTTCTAATCTATTCTATTTCTGTTCTCTTTTACTATATTCTATTCTGTTTTGTTCTATTCTATTCTTTTTGAAAATCAAATTTCAGAAGACGGCTATATTCTTTCTAAATTATTATATTCTATTCAAAATCTATTCTATTTTTCTATTCTGTTCAAATCTATTGTATTCTATTCTATTCCTTTGTATTCAATTCTATTCTATTCTTTTATATTCTATTCTTTTATATTATATTATATTCTGTTTTATTCTATTCTTTTTGAAATTTAAATTTCAGAAGACGACCTTTTTTCTAACACTAATACACATAGTCTTTGAAGTCAATCAGCAATAGACAACAATATGTTTATATTTCTAATTTGATTTCGAATTTGATTTCATTTTCAAATGTAATTCTAATTTCAGGCAAAATGTCATTTCGTTATGTCTGATTTGTTTAAATTCATTACTATTGTGATTTGGACATTCAGATACATCCAGATCTCAGAATAACAAAAATTTTATCCAAATTTTGAAACAAATTGCACATGTCTACATGCACTTAGAAATTGGGGTCAATACTTTCAAGTCCAGTTTCCACACATAATTGTTTTTGCTTTCTGATGTGGTCTGCAATGTACTGAACACTCCAATTCTTTCAAAATTGTAATTTTAGAGTTGTAAAGAGTGATGCTCTGATAAGCAAAATCCCAGTGTGATATATGTAAACAAATATCCAGATCTAAAAAAGAGATTGATATAAATTCAGAAATCACTGATTAACATACTATTGCTATCTTATGTTTAGAGTATTTAACAACTAAATAAATCGTATGACAGGGGCATTGTCCTACTTTGGTGGCAATACCACTTTTCCTTTCATTTCATCTGATGCTATTGTACTAATGTTGCTCAAAGGGAATGAATGGTCTTTGTACATGTACATGTTCTTGTGGGACACATAACAGGTTTCAGTTTGATGTAAATAGGCTGACAAATCAAAGGGTTTTGAAAAACCTTCTTGCTATTTATAATTTGAAATTTTATATGTACTTAAGGTAGCCATTTTTTGCTCATTATAAGCTCAGGCTTTGATGCATGCTTACCATTGTTACCCAATGGATTTGATTTACTGCTCCTAATTACTATGCAAGCCTATGAGCTCCTCAGTGCTCTGATAACAAAGTGCTCCTTGAGAACCTGATTTTATTCTGACTATATCTGTAATAGTGACTTATCCCTTAGCTTGGCCTGAATAGGTAGTAGTTGAGACAATCACTGAAAACAATATTTATCAGATAGTTAAACTTACAACATCCATTGCATCTACAAATATCTTTACTGTTCGCAGAAGGTTCAGGCTAATGATATTGTGGATGTTGGTATTTGAAGTGCAAAATAAATCTTTCCTTTCTCACCTCAGTGTGTGGCTTGCCTGAAGAATAGCAGAAATTACAATGATGAAACTGTATTATGCAAAAGAATGGATTACATAACAAGAACTCAATGAAGTAAAATAAAGACTAATGAAATTACTTTGCTAATATAACTGTTGAAGACAGTGCACTCCCCCTCTGGCATTGTCACATGTGACTATATTATTAACTGTAACATACCAACAGTTACATGCAAGCACATTACCAATAGCACAGCTTGCTATTATGAAAATCTGAAAGACAAAAGAGAAAACAGGCATGTATTGCAAAAAAAACAATGACTTTTAAGCCATTAAAGGCAAAAAAATAGCATATAAATCAATTCAACTGAATGTTCTTGGCACATTCATCCTCAGAGTTTGAGTAAAATCTCTACTTCAAGTACAGCTGAAGAAAAGCTCAGTCCTCAAAAGGCAAGAAGAAAACAAATTCAGTGACGGTCTGATACAATTACCCAGTCGTGCACCGTTCAACTCTACCTTATGTACTTTGCTATCATAACTAGTAATGCTCTTTATGACGAGCCCTATGGACCAGTCAGTTCTTTCAGCCTGTTGGCTTTTCAGAAGGACAAGGTCTTTACCTTGTAGATTTAGGTTGAGACATTGTCACATCTGCATCCTTTTCTATTGATTGCTGAATTAGACATAGACATGTTGGCCCTGATTTACTATTTGGCGTGGGTGCATATTCGTGGGCGAACGCCCAATTTTTATGGACGACCATTTATTTTTACTCCGCAATGAGATTTACTATTGAGCAGCGCCCATAAGCAGATGCCCAATCGAATTTACAAAAAGACACACGCCCGGAATCAGACTTGCTAAGAAGTACGTCTAACACCATGAAAAATCACTGCAGAGACATGTTCACTTAGAAATTTGCTTTGCCAAATATCAGGACTTCACTTTAAACAATATCTGCTATTTCCAAAAAAATTAAGAATGTGTTAAAATCGTTCGTTTTTTTCAAGGAAATCAACACAGTAAAAATCTAGACGCCCGTGCAGTGTCTTTGGCCGATATAAATGCGCATGTGCAGAACACATTTTAGGTGTCTGCCATGGGCATTTGCTTTTTAGCCACTGCCTAATAGTAAATCTCACTGTGGATTCCTCTGACAGCCGACACTCGGTCGCATCTACTGTGTTAAACAAACAGCACTAAGCATATCTTTATGTATTCTAATTTGATTTCCTTAGTTCTAGTGATTCTATTTTTGTTTCTTATCCTTTATAATTATTTTTGTAATGATTTTACTTATTTCGAAGGTCTAGATAATATTTACT